TCTGGCGATCTTGTCTGCTTCCAATTTCCAGGAGGATCTATATATGTTTTTCTTTGGGTTCACCTTATTACTTAACTTCTCTAGGATCACGAGCTATAGGCTCAATGTCCTTTGTTTATGGCTAAGATCCACTAATGAGTGAGTACATACCATATTCAAATTTTTGGGTCTGGATTATCTCACTCAGGATAGTCTTTTCTAATTCCATTCATTTGCATGCAAAAATCAAGATGTCATTGTTTTTTACTGCTGAGTAGAACTCTAATGTGTATATGTGCCACACCTTCTTCATCCATTCTTCCATTGAGGGGCATCTAGGTTGTTTCTAGTTTCTGGAAACATATTCTGGAAGCATATTCATAAATAATGCTGCTATGAACATAGTTGAACAAATGCTTTTGTAGTATGATTGGACATCTTTGGGATATATTCCCAAGAGTGGTATTGCTGGGTCCTAAGGTAGGTTGATTCTCAATTTTCTGAGAAACCGCCACACTGATTTTCACAAGTTTGTATTCCCACCAGCAATGGATGAGTGTTTCCCTTACTCCACATTCTCTCCAGCATAAACTATCATTGGTGTTTTTGATTTTAGCCATTCTGACAGGTATAAGATGGTATCTCAAAGTTGTTTTGATTTGCATTTCCTTGACAGCTAAGGACGTTGAACATATCCTTAAGTATCTTTTGATCATTTGAAATTCTTCTGCTGAGAATTCTCTATTCAGTTCAGTACCCCATTTTTTAATTGGGTTATTTAGAATTTTAAAGTCTAGTTTCTTTAGTTCTTTATTTATTTTGGAGATCAGACATTTGTCTGATGTGTAGTTGGCCACTGGGTCATTTCTAAAGCAGGCCTTCTGCACCAGACTGTGCATGGGTAAGTTCCTGTCCTGACACTGTTATCTTTGTCTCCACCTGTAGCCTCCTTAAGGAGGATTGGACCTCAGCAGCAGCTGGAGAGAATGACCAAGGGGCATTAGTATGAACTCCACCATGCCTAGGCATCCAGGCTCAACCCAAGTGTGCGTGAAGAAGTATATTTTGTCTGAGAGGAGGCACTTCTGCCTGCAGCAGCCAGGAAAGATGCTTGGAGCTCAGAGGATGTGGAGTTTCTGAATCGTGGGTGTTGAGGCTGAGGAGGTAACACGACAGAGGCCTGTATGTCCTCACCAGAGTGACCACAGTCCTGGGCTGATCAAAGCAAGAAAAGCAAATGCATGCTGGGGTTCCCCAGTGTGGGTGCTGAAGGACAGGAAGTCGTCATCAGTGTTCCAGTGAAAGGTGACGTGGACCACAGGATGGGGTGACAGACAGCTGTGACTGTTATCTCTGTCTCCATCTGTCGCCTCCTGTAGAAGGGTCGGACCTCAGGACCTCGGCTGCAATTGGAGAGAATGACCAAGGAACAGATGTAAGCTTCGAAGTTTCCAGATGTGGTCTGAGGGGCCGGCTTTGAAGCAAGCTATGCGAATTTGAACATGTTGCTTGTTTTCTTGAAGTGGAGATCTCTCCTAGGGACTGGGGAGGTGGCTTGGATGGTAGAGCGCTTGTGTTGCAAGTATGAGGACCTGAGCCCCCTTAAAGTTGGTGATGTGTGTTTCTCATACCAGACCTAGAGAGGCAGAGACGGGTGAGGGGGTGACAACTTTCCAGACAGCCTGCAAAGTGTGCTCCAGGCTGGTGAGAGATGTTGTCTGGAGGGAAAGGTTTGAAACACCCAAGGAACGGCACCCAGGTTTGCCCTCTGACTTTTACATGCATACACACATGTAGGCACACCAAGAAATTGCTTGTGTGAAAGGCAGACAGTAATAGCTGCTATGAAGGGCCGTCTGGGATTTAGCAGTAGGAACTGATGGGAGCTGGGCCATGCAGCTCAGGTGTAGAACTCTTGATCTGCATGCACTAGGCTCTGCGTCCCATCCTCAGGATCACCTTTTTAAAAAGTTATCATGGTCCTGGGTGCCAGGTGGTCGCTCACTCTGTTCCAATTGGACCTCAGCTAATGGCTATAGAGACACACGAGAGAACGGGGACTCCTAGGAGAAAGCTAGGGCCGCAGCAAAGGGGAGTGGGGCTCCAAGCGGCACTCTGATGGTGTGAGAGGCTGGAGACAGTCAGAAAGGAGCCATGGAGTTTGGATGTCACACGCTGGAATTTGCCGCAACCATTGTGAGAGCGTCCGTGTGAAGGTGAAAAATCCCCTGAGAAGAAATGTTGTTAGATTGGGTGCACTGCCTGTGACCCAGCTACTTAGTAGGCTGAGGCAGGAGGATTGAAAATTCTTGTGATAGAGAGTGAGTGCAAGCTCAGATTGGACAGCGTAGTGTGAGAGCCTGTCCTAAAATAAACAGTGTCTGTCTGTTTTAAAGGGTTAGTGCTATAGCTCAGTGGTCAGCAGTAGAGCACCTGCCTAGAATCCCCAGTGAGGGGCTAGGGTGTGGCTCAGTGGTAGAGCCCCAGCCTAGAATCCCCCAGTGAGGGACTGGGGTGTGGCTCAGTGGTAGAGCTCCTGCCTAGAATCCCACTGAGTAGCTAGAGGATTGGCTCAGTGGTAAATCCATTATCTAACATGTTTGAAGTCCTAGGTTCTATCCCCAGTAATAAAGCAAGCTGAGCTAAGCTAACTAAAATGAAATAAAGGAAAAGGAAAAAGAAAGATAGACCCAAGCAAAATTGGCAAAGAGTAGGGGGTCGTGGCCATAAACAGAAAGAGGCCCTGAAGGGCATGGTGTCATGGAAACTCCCACAGAGCATTCCCATGGTGGTTCCAAGAAGCTTTCATAGTAGTCTTCACAGCCTGGCACAGCTCCTCCCACCTTGAAACAGGAGGGACCTGTGACAATGGGACACTGAGGGGAAGATAATGCATGCTTTCAAAGGCTAGACGCTAAGGTGCCTTGCAGACTGTTCTCTTGAGCCATCACTCCGGAAGAAGCTGGTCATTGAGCTGTGAGGATATTCAATGGAGAGGGATGAGGAGCTGGGGGCCTCCTGCCCAGAACCACCTGATAGGTTGGCCTTGGTAGGAGATCATTACAGCGGTGGATAGCTTACTGTCCATAAGCCTTTAGTAGAATCAGCAACCTCTACTGACATCTCCACTGTAGCATTGTGTGAGACTCTGAATCAGAGCCACCGGGGGATGGGGAGAATATTCATGTCCTGGTTAATTTTAACTGTCAATTTGAAAAAGGAGAATTACCCAGGAAGGGAATCTCAGTTGTGGGATTTCCAAGATCAGGCTGGCCTGTGGGCGTGTCTGTGGAGATCGCTCTGATAGTTAGTTGAGATAGGAAGTCCCAGTCCACCCAGGGCAGCACATTCCTTAGGCAGATGGCCCTGGGCTGTGTGAAAGAGCTAGCTGAGCAGCAGGAAGCATCCTCCACGGTTTCTGCAGTACTTCTCTGGCTGTGAAGTGAGTTGGTTGAAGGTCACACAGCGTGAAATAGCAAGCAGTCCAGTCTCCAAGCTCCTGCCTTGACTTCTCCCAGTCATGTTCTGTGACTTGGAAGGGTAAGCCGGATAGAGCCTTTCATCCCTTCTAACTGCTTTCTGCCAGAGTGCAGCCACAGAAAGGAAATTAGAACACCTACAGCTTCCACCCCACAGAAATGGTGGGACCCATGTCTTGCTACATCTAAATGCCTGGGTTGGGGAGATGGCTAAGGGGGTAAATTGCTGTCTGTGCAAACATGAAGACTTGAGTTCAGATCCTCAGCTACCACCTGAAAGTGAGACACGGTTGGGAGTGTCCATAATCCCAGTCCTGGGGTGGTCGAGACATGTGGATCCCGGGGCGTTGGTGGAAAGCCAGTCTAGCATAATTAGTGAGATCCAGGTTCAGTGAGAGACCTTGTTTGAAAACTGATGAAGAAAGATAATGGAAATTAATCTCTGGCTTCTATCTATGTGTGTGCACATGTGCCCACACGCAAACACCATTGCCACCCAACCTACATTTATACATACACACAGATACACACGCACAGACACGCGTGCACACGTGAGAGATAGATAGATAGATAGATAGATAGATAGATAGATAGATAGAGAGAGAGAGAACTGTGAAGGTGGCCTATTACATAGTGATGGGTAGACTGTTATGTTGTGACCCTATTGACTCCATATCCAGGTAAGGCCAGCTCTTTGTGCAGGGCAGGGACGTGGGCTCCAGGAGGGAGAAGGTAGCTACTTGCTTGAACAGACAGCCACTGGCTGCTGAGCTTGGAGGTCAAGGCAAAGACATTTGAGGGGATACAGGATGCTCCAACAACATCTGCAGGCACACCCCTAGCATCACAGAAGAAGTCAAGGAAGGGACTCAAACTAGAACTTGAAGCAGCAACCATGGAGGAACATGGCTAGCTGGCTCTCCTGCCTAGGGAATGATGTCACCCACAGTGGATTGGATTTTCCTGTATCAATCAACAGTTAAGACAATTCCCCACAGACAGGTCCACGGGCCAGTCTGACACAGACAGTCCATCAACTGAGACTCATTTGCCAAATGTCCTTAGGCTATGCTAAGTTAGCAGTTAAAGCAACCTAGGATACCATGTTAAAAAAAGTTGGATATGGCGGTATGATTTTGTATTCCCAGTTCTGAGGAGGTAAAGATGGATCCACTGGGCTTGATGACTGGCCACCAGAGTTAAGAGAGTCTTAGCTCAAAAATCAAGGTGAATAGTAATCAATGAATAATACCTGAGGTTTACAAGTGACCTCCACATGCATGTGCAAACATGCATACTTGTATCCAAGCGCGTGCATTTACCTTCACTTGTATGAACACACACACAACACACAAAGTATTAATATCCAAGGTTGATGCATGCATTTCCAGGGCTCAGTTCCAACAGGGCTTCTCAATACCCTGGAGCTGGGGAGCAGGCACAGACCTGAGAGTTTAGAGGAAACACTGCTTTGTTACACAAACCCGCGCTTTCACCACAGAACGCACTGTATCGATTTCTGTTTAATAATGACAGATGCAGTTTGTGAGCTCTTCCTCTGATGAATCCAAGCTGTCAGTCAGACGGAGAGCAAGGGCAAGAGGAAAGGGAGAGAGGCTGTTGCATTGCTTGCTAATCATCGGGTGAACGGGGTACTGCAGCATCCGTTCGGGTGATCAATGCAGAGGTGGTACAGAGCCTCCAGGTAAGAGGGTGACTTCCAAGACTCGAGTCCTGTCTGGAGATCTTGCCTGTCCACCCACTCTTGTGTTTTCCTTCTCATGAGCCCCCGTCCTCAACTTGAGTGAGGCAGTTACCATCTTTTAAGTCTGGTGAGCAGCTTCCATAAGCACTTTAACCCCTCTGCTCCTTGCTCTTCTACCTGTCCCCGCCCCCAGCAATGAGACCAAGCTCTCTGCCATGTTGTGTGACTCGTGTCTTTGCCAAAAGGGAAGCATGCGTGTTGTGTGAGTGTTTGTATGTTCTCACATATGTGGAAGACTGATGTGAACTTCAGGTGTCGTTCCTATCTACCGTGTTGTTTCTGAGATGGGGTCTCTCACTGATGTGAAACTTACCAAGTAGAATGGGTTGACCATAAGTGAACCCCAGCGAGTTTCCTGTGTCCATTTCCCGACACTGGAATTACAAGTGTGTACCAAGGCAAAGAGGAAGGCCTAAAAGGTGCTGGATAGACAGCACAATGGAAGACTGTGGGACCTTGAGTAAGACAATAGCACAAACATCCAGGACTGCCCAGGATAGGACCAACTGGAGAACCGCTATAAACAGGCTGTTCGCACATGCTTGAACATTGCCCGGGCGTAAGTGATGTTGATGACGACAACCACGCTTGGTGTTTTCATAACTGTTAGTTGATTGTGTGCATATGTAGACATGTGGACATCCAGAGCTAATTCTCTTTCTGCCTGTGGGTTCCAGGGACTGAATTCAGCTTGCTAGGCCTTGTCCTAAGGTTATTGGCCCATGCTTGACTTTTAACGATAATTATTTTTCTTTGATGTATATGAGTGTTTTGACTGCATGTCTGTGTACCACATGCATACAGTTTCTGTGAAGGCTAGAAGAGGGCACAGATCACCTGAAACTAGAGCTATGGGAGGTTGTGAACCAGCATACGGATGTTGGGAACCAAACCAGGGTCTCCTGGAAGGACCAGAAAATCATCTTAATCACTAAGACATCTCTCCTGGTCCCCACACTTGGCCTTTTAAGTGGGTTCTGGGGATTGAACGTAGGCCCTTATGTTTATGTGGTTAGTGCTTTACTGACTACACCAAGTTTTCAGCTTCCTTGCTGCACTCCACCCTCCAAAATAAGATGCCCTCACTGTATGTAGACCAGGATGACCTGGAACTCACTATGTAACCCGGGGTGAAGTCACCTCCTGCCTCGGTTTCCAAAGTGCTTGGACTATAGGAGTGTGCTAGTCTGCCTAGCAAGAGGATGCTTTCCTCATGCTTCCGAAGTGCCGCGGTGGGGACTAGTGGCTATTGTCTGCAGAGGGAATCAAACAAAACCTCCTCATGTAGAATGAGAGATTTCTGGAGTATACGCATTAGCCTCCAAGTGTCCCTGAACTGTTCAAAGTGTCACCAAGGCCCAGATGTGGGGAGATGCTGTTCCTTTCCCTGAGTGAAAGTCAATATAATTGTCACTGTGTGGCTTCCTGTCGGCCATGCACAGCTCCCATCTCTGAGCACTGAGTACCTGAGTTAGGATGGAGGCTCATGCATCCTCACGGAATGTCTTAAAGCTTGAGGTCTCTGTCTTGGATCACTGCTCATCTCACTGAGCATCTCTGAGAGATGCTTGCAAAGGGGGAGGGTCCAGAAGCGTTTTCCCTACCTGGTGTTTGAGTCATTTCTCTCGAGCACAAGAACATGTGGTCCAAGGGTCAACTGACAACTTTGGGGGATAAAACCCAGGTTTGATCAGTGTGTATGTATGCGTGTCCACAGGTAAGTTAGTATACACAGGTGTGTAGGTCAGAGGTTGAAGTTGGGTGTCTTCCTCAAGCATTCCCCATCTTATTTTTGAAGTAAAGTCTCACTGAACTCAGAGCTCACCATTGGTTATGCTGCCTAGCCAATAGACCCCAGGGACCTGCCTGCTCTTCACCTCCTCAGTGCTGGGATTATAAACACCCAGCATTGCTGTCTTTTAACATAGGTGATGGGGATGTGAACTCAGGTCCTCATACATGTCTGGCAAGCACTCTAGTGACTAAGCCACCCCATAGACCAGCATTTGTCATTTTAAAATTCCCCAGGTGGAGGGCCTGCAAGGTGACCCAGCCCACCAAGCCTGGCTACCCGAGTGAACCCACTTCAGAAAGCTGTCCTCTGACCTCTACATGTGAACCATGATGGGCTTCCCAAACAAATAATTATATGTAATAAGACTACTTCCTCAAGAGGAAGTGGGCATGGCAGGGCAAGGCCTTGAGAGGAACTTGGGAGGCTGAGGCAAGAGGACATCAGCTTAAGGCCAGTTTGGGCTATGAGTGAGATGTTATCTCAAGAAACAAAAACTGGGATGAGGAGGTGATGTAGGATGTCCTTCTGCATATGTATTGTTATTATTGTTGATGAATGAAGCTGTTTCAGCCAATAGCTTAGCAGAGTAAAGCCAGGAGGCAAATCTGAGCAGAAATTACAGAGAGAGTAGACAGAGTCAGGGAGACGCTGTAAAGAAGAAGGACCCGCTGCAACCTTACTGGTAGGCAACAGCTTCATGGCGATACGTAGATTAATAAAAATGGGTTAATTTAAGATGTAAGCATTGGTTAATAAGAAGTAGGAGCTAATAGGCCAAACAGTGTTGTAATTAATATAGTTTCTGCATGATTGTTTAGGTTTGAGCAGCTGGGAAGCGAAAGCTCAGTCTCCATTTACAGAATGGTGCCCACTGTCTGGGGCATGTATCCACATACGACTTTTAAAAGCTTAAGGAAAAAAAATGGGCTTCTAGACCCATAAAAATGGGAGCCAAGCATAGCTGTTTGGTACCCATATTTTTTTTTTCAGGTAGGCTCTGTTTGCTAGTGGTGAGCAGAGGTGTGGCTCCTTTAAGAGACAGCTTCCTGGTTCATACTGGCAGTACAAACAGGTGTGACTCTTTCAGAAGGGTGAGCACTTGAACGAGCTTGTGAGCATCATGCTACTATCTGTTTAATGGTGACATAGACCCACTGTATCCCTGAAGCTGGGGCAATGAGCGTGGCTCGCAGAGGCAGTGAACATACCTCTGCCATGTTGGTTGGGGTAGAACCAATAGGCAGGGTCACAGAGTTGGTTCTATCCATGCCTGCTGAGCATTAAAAAAAATAAAAGAAACTCCTTGTCAGAAAATGATTACAGATAGGCAATAAAGACAGATTCAGACAAAAGAATAAACCTTTGAATGGGTCACAGTGCATTCTTAAAAATGTTCATAGGCTTGGTAGAGAGAGAAAAAAGAGTATAGACAGTTATAAAAAGAAGCAAATAGTTTTAAAAACAAAACAAAGTCTTTAAAGAGACAGTAAAGGTAATATAAAAGAGTGCAGACAGTCACAGATTAAAGGAGCAAAGATGGAATATACACAGAGAGTCTGGATTATGTATATTGTGGTTTTTTTTAATGTTTTGACTGCAGAGAGACATTTGATTCTGGGGCTGCTAAGCTAAACCAATAAATATATTTTAAAGGTATCTTGACTTCAAAATTTAGGTCTAAGGATATGTTGCTTTGGAAAAGAGTTCTGCTTTTGTTTCCACAGATGATGAGAATCTGTGGATTCTTTCCAGGCTAATGTGGTTTGATGGTACAAGATCCCCCAAAAGGTCTCCGTTAACCATAAAAATACTTCACCCAATAAACAGCAGAAAGCAGTTTGGAGAAAACAATGCCCAAATTGATTATTTATAAAGGCTTGTTTTATTTAAAGGGGGATATGATATAGAGGTGAATACTTTGCATTGGTATGGGTTTTGATTTATTGACACAAATTTAAAGTCAATTTCGTTATATGTATATTTCTACTCTTGGTTAAAGTATTATAATTATACAATTCATTTTAAAATATATAATTTATAGATATCATCTATAATATTCAAACTTGTAATCATGTTAGTTAGGTTTTCTAGATGTACAGGGATATATTTCATATGGATAAATATTCTTTAAACCTTTCAAAGATCTACAGAATATGACATTTAAAATAAATGTTATAAGAACTTATACTTCCATCAACAGTGAGACATGTCTGTTTCTGGCAGTATCAATTACTTTAGAGAGTTTGATGGGTATTGAAGAAACTCATTATGGTACTTGCCTTCAATGTGACAAAGCTAGACATTTGGGCAAGAAACTCCTCTTGCCTGGACTGCTTTATGGTATGCTGTATTAACTGGACATGCAGGACCCACAGAAAAGTAAACTTTCCAAAAGACAGGATGATCCTTAAGGTTCCTGCTTCACAGAAGAAACTGTCAGGCACTCTGCAGGACACAGGAGAAAGTGACTGACAAACTGCCATTTTAGGCAAAACAGTCTTTCAAATTTCTTGCTTCATGGAAAAGTCTGCTGGATACTATGTGTCTGTAAGCTGGAGATGAATGCCATAACATTACAGAAGAACTTTGGGTGATTACCCAGGCAGCAAGATGTCTCTATCAATTATAGAGCTTTGGAAATTGCTTACACATTTGGAAATGCACTTCCTGTTTACTTAGGCAATACTATATCCTTCTGGGGTCTTTGAAGAGTTGAAGATAAATAGTTATAGTTTTCCTTAGTTATATATAATAAAAGATAAATTAGATAGGAAACTTTAGACTCACAAAGAAAGATTGTAAGTGTAATTCCAGCTTGATACTTGTTTTGTTGTATGTAATTTTGCTATGTTAAAGTTAAAACCTTTCTTTTTAAATAGACAGAAAAAGGGACATGATGCGGGATGTCCTTCTGTATATATGTTGCTTTTATTGGTTGATGAATAAAACTGTTTCAGCCAATGGTTTAACAGAGTAAAGCCAGGCGGTAAACCCAAACAGAGACATATAGAGAGAGTAGGCATCGTTAGGGAGATGCCATGTAGCTTCCAAAGAAGAACTCACCGGAGCCTTACTGGTAGGCCACAGTCTCGTGGTGATACATACACTAATAGAGATGGATTAATTTCAGATGGAAGAGTTAGTT